GGGGGGGGTCTCTACTGAGTAGAAGTCCTGGGAGAGTAGGAGGTCACAGCATGCCACCCCAAGGGTGGTGAGTGGCTACTGCTGGCTCCTCGGACATGCGCAGAGCAGCAAGAAGCATGCTTTCCAAATTGCCAAGGTGAGTGTAAAAGCATGGTGAGCAGTCAGTTGTCAGGGATGACCACCTGGAGGTGTACACATTCTCCAATGTCTGGGGACACATGACCTGAAGGAGCTTTCATTTGAGTCTCCACTGTTTTTGACAGTAAGAAGAAAAAAAGAGAGACCTGTTCCCTTGGTAGGAATAGTGGGGACAAGACAGGACTTGGCATCCAAAGCAGCAAGCAGGTAGGACAGAATCCTTCCTGGAGGAGGACCAAAAGGGTGTGCCACACGCTAGCATACAGGGCTTTGAGTCTCATGTCAGTCTCTAGGACATGAGAGCCTCATGTTGGAGGTGACCAAGTGAGCTCGAGGAACAGTAACTGCAACAGTGGCCAACAGTTGTCTCTGCATAGTGGCAGTCACCGTTAGTGGGCAACCAGACTGCATTCGACACCAGCTGTGCCTTTCATCAGCTGAGTGTGCAGAGGGTGGTTGTGGAGGATGAGGAAGCTGACACATTGGCTACCTGGGTTCTTCTCTTCTTGCCATGCGGCTAGAAAATAGAGGATGGATAGAGAAATTGCTAATTTACTGATGGCTAATCACTGGGCGGGTATGATTTTTTAAATTCCTTTAGACGAAGAAGTGATCAGGGACTTTTTTATGTCAGGAAGAAAGGGCAAATCCCTATTTCTTGAGCACTAGCCATGTCCCTTGTAGCTGAATCATGTTGAATGTGGAAGGATAGTGCTGGCTATTGGCCTGAGCCCAGTAACTCTGGCCTTCACAACAGGCCCTGCTGGCGCTGTCACCATCCCCTTCAGTGCCCATGCACTCCCTCTTCATGTTGTCAGGCCCTGAGGCTGGAACCCATCTCCCACAGCACCTGCACTGTGTGTGTCACCCCCCTCTGGGCAGTTAACAAGACAAGCTCCTCTCATTTCTCCTGGAGGTGGTACTTTGTCTGCCAGAAGGCAGCTGAAGCACAGGGAACCCTCCTGGGATGAGGGGAGGGCCTTCATGGAGCTTGGCACTGCTCCTGCACTCTGCCAGCCCAGAAAGGCAGGGTGGCCAAGCAGTGCATCTGCCTCAGTTGCAGGACACCATGGAGCACGCTGCAGAGTCAAGGGACACCAAGCTGGTCAAGAAGTTGCTGCAGTGGTTCCTGGAGGAGGGCAAGCTGGAGTGGCATCACGGCCTCTCTCTTCACCTGCTACAACCTACTTCCCCCTGAATATGATGTTGGAGCTGGCCTGGAGGTGCAACCTGGTGGACCTGGCCATGCCCTACTTCATCCAGGTGATGAGGGAGTACCCTAGCAAAGTAAGTACCTGCCCTTCTGTGGCTCTGTTTCCCCTGGCTATGACCCTGGCTCTGGTCTGCAGAGGTCCTACTGTGGCCAGTTAAGAGGCCAGCCCAGATTGCCCAACCAGCCCAGGCTGCTGTTGGGAGAGGCCTTGATTTTAGGTCCAGTGTTGTTATTTCTAGAAAATCACCATGGGGTGGTGGCGAGCTGGGTAGAACTGAGCACTTGCCCTCGCAGCAGTTCCACACACTGCCGGGGGCAGGGGGTGAGGGGGCATGCAGTGTGTTAGCCCACCACCAGGAGGCCCAGGGACACCTGGTGTGGGCCACTTACCTCTCAGCACCAGCTATGGGCAATTGGAGGAGCACTTAATAGGAATGTTAATCATATTTAAGCCTTTAACACCTTAATGATGGAGGCAGTCTTCCCCTCTACAGCTGCAGACACTGGGGTTCAGGTTCAAAGCTGACAGATGAAGGGGGTGGGGGCTTAGACACATGTCTTCCTGGCCCAGGGGCTATACTCATGTCTTAGCATCTCGCTTCTGTTACTCCAGATGTCACTTGGTGTCCCACTTCGGCTTTCTTTGCAGGTTGATGAGCTGTTTAACAAGGTGACAGTGTCTAGTTTCAACTCCCTGTGTGTCGAAGCCCTAGGAGTCACTTTCTAGGGCCTAGCTGTAGCCACTGTCCAGAGACCCATGTCATCTGGTCTGCTTTGTTTCTAAGTATGCAGAAAAGCAATGGCTCAGCAGTGCCTACTTGCCTATCCAGCCATATACCATACCTTCTTCCAGCCAGGTGGAGGACCCACAATGCCAGGAAGCCACAGCCAAGGCTGCTTTCAGTGTGCATAGAAGGGAGGAGCCTCCCAGCGTTAGTGTGGGGGTTAGGGAAGAAACAGGGAGGGGGTGGCGTCTGGTGCTACCAGCTTTGGACTGCAAGGGCTTCCTCTGGACCATCCCGGGACCATTCAAAGCCATTACCCTGCTGCAGGAGGAGGGACCCATAAAGTGTGCCTTCTTGCTGGAGGGACCCTGTTCCTTGGCCCAGGGTCTCCAGACACCTTCCCTAGTCCTGGAAGGCAGAAGCTGCCATGGCGCCTGCCCTCGATCCTGCCCCACATGCCTCTGCTAGCACCCAACCAAGTTCCTGATATGGTGAGGAGAGGCGGGTGCTCACGAGGGATTTCTCTGGCAGTGATAAGAGTGTAGGTTGTTTCTTGGCTTGGGATGAGGCCCAGCAAACTGGACACTGCTGTGTGGCAGAGTAATCCAGACAGGAATGCCACAGCCCATTCCTGACTGGAAATCCTGGTCCTGGGCCTCTTGACTCATCTGGGAAGCTCAAGCCCCATCCCTCTGAGAACCCTCTGCCCCCCAGGGCTCTCCCAGTACAGCAGCTGAAGGCAGAGAGGACAGGCTGTGAGAGGAGAGCTGCCATGCTCCTTCCTTACCTCAGTCCAGGTCCCATGGGGGGAAGAGGAAAGAGAGTGTGCAGGGCTGGCATCAGAGCTGTCTCTGCTAGGTTTCTGGTACCTGGCCCAAGCTCTCCCAAACCTGAGTGCACATAGGGCACATAATTGTTTCTTCTTTCTTACCCAGGTGCTTGTTTGGGAGTGGTCCCAGATACACAGTTGCTGTCACTCATACTAGCACAGTGCTGTCCGCCCTATATCCCCCATGGCATCACCTCACTCTGTTTCCTCTCCATCCATCAATCTGCTTCAGCCTATGGGGACTGCACCTGGTGAAACCTCAAGGAAGGGCAAAGTGCAGTTTGTCTTCAGATGGCTGTCATAGCACCTATCTCTCAGATGGTGCATCCTCTCTGCCAGGTGGAGGGTCTCAGGTGTAAGGTGACCAGTCCCCTTAGAAGGGGTAAGCATCCCAGACTGGCTAAAAGGAGCTACTACATTGTCTCAGCAGTGTCCCTGTGTCCAGAGGAGGACTCAGCCCTGTGAGTCATGCTGTACTCAAAGCCCACTGCTCCAGTGCACCTGGTGGTCAAGTGTCCACTTGGAAAGTACTGGGCTGGAACAGCAGCTGAGGTTCACCAGGGCCCCACTGGGCACTCACATCTCCATCTGGTTAGAGAGGCTTCACTTTGTGGAGTGAGGTGGTGGTCACTGCCAGTGCAGTGGTGGTCTGTGTGCCTGTCTTCAGCTCTAACTCTCCTGAAGGCTATGTGCTTGCCTCCCAAGTTCACCTCCAGGCCAATACTGCATGTGACCTGTAAGGTGGGCACTCACATGCTCTTGCCTCTTTGCAGGTGGACAGACTGGACACCTCAGAAAGTCTGTGCAAGAGAAGCATGTGGTAGAGCCTGCCCCTCTTTAGTAGGTGGCATCCCATAGCTCCTGTCCCCTGTCCCTGGCTGGGCTTCAGATTGGGGTGGGAATGGATAGGGTGGGGGATGAGGACCACAATGGCTGCCAGGTGCAGAGAAGGTAGTTCAGTGATCTAGGAATGTTGAAGAGGCACCACCACGGTCCTCCCTGCTCTGAGGGCAACTGCCTTCTGGTGGGGGGTGCTCCTGCCTATTCCTTGTGCCTAGTAACTGCCCTGCCTCAAGCTACTGCTGTGCTGCCCTATCTGGCCCTTGACAGGCTCTTGTTGGCTTTGCACTTGAGAGCCTGCCTGATTGGCCTGGCAGTTCAGTAGACAGATCACTTGGTGTCCACTGCACAGAGGCTGATGCTTCCTAGAGTGCATTTGAGGGACTAACATAGGCCTGAGGTGTAATGTGAGCCTCCCAACTGTGTGCTCCTTGAGGGTTATGGTGCCCACCCACCATTAATGTCAATTTGGGTTTTTTAGGTATTGATGGGCATCAGTGAGACCCAGCCAGTTGAGCTAAGTAAGTGCCCTATACTTGGGGACAAGCTTACCCTCTAGGCTGGCCAGCCTCTAGAGCTGGCCCCACAAGAGCAGCTCCCACAGCCCTTGCCTCCTGCCCCTGCTCTTGGAGGACACTCAGCCTCTGGATGGTTAGGGCTGGTTTGTAGCCCTGCTCCGTGGACCCCTGGCCACTTGGGGGCAGCAGGAGCCCTGCTCACCCTAGGCTTCTCCCTCTGCAGGTCAGCAGCTGATGCTGACAGCAGGCCTTGCTACAGAACCGGCCCCTGCCAGCTTCCCCTATGGCTGCTCCCGCCTTTGCCCAGCCGCCTGTGTAGGGCTTCAGTATGTAGTGGGCACTCAGTGGTAACATCCCCTTTACAGAGTTACTAACCTCCCCAAGGAGCACAGAGGACCCTGGGTGTTACTTATTTTTGCTGAGACCCAATGATAGCAGCCACTGAGCCTTCCCAGAACCTGGAGATGTCAGAGTAACCCTTGACTACCTAAGAAGACCAGCTCCAGCCACCAGGCAGGGAGGTCAACTAAAGGCTCCATACCCTCCAGCTTCAGCCAGCATCCTGGGGAGTGTTTGTCTGCAATAAGTACCCAGCGCTAGGAGGAGGGGCACCGTCTCTTCACCGGCGGAGCTGCCCTCCTCCTGGTCACTTTGCACACAGTTGAACAGACTAACAGGGTTTTGAGCCTCCTGCCAATCATGAATATTAAAAGTCTGTTTATCAAGGCAAAGCTTCCGTTCTTGGTGCTGGTGTGGATAGGAGGGGGCAAGAGATTTGCTTGGTCTTCTGGGGGTGGGGGACCTGCACCCAGGGAAGCTGCCCTGGGGGGTACTGTCAGGTGTATTTGGGATCTTTTCCTGACGGTGTGCAGTACCTGGAGTTCTAAATCCCGAAAGGAGAGTGGTAAGTGCTGGCCATAGGTGTGGGAAGGCCAAGTCCTCAAACAGTAAGGATGGGGCTAGCCCACGTGTCTCTCCACTGTCATCTCAGGGGTCCTGCCGCACACGGCAGAAGTGCAGACCCGGAGCCCGCTCCTACCCGCGCCTAGCTGTGCTCAATGCCCGGGCAGGCTCAGGAGACTGCACTTTGACCCACAGCTCTGCGCGGGCGCAGCACCGCCTCCCAAGGACCCCTGCCGAGCGTGGTCGTCTGAGTTACAGGCTGGGCCATTGGCTGGGTTGCTGTCCTCGCAGCGGCCTCAGTGCCCGGGCCTCAGTTTCCCGGCCTGCA